AAATAAATAAATAAATAAAAATACTAATCAACAGTGTTCTTTGCTTTAAATACAACATATTGGAGGCCCCATGCTCTTCAACTGGATTTCCTCCCTTACAAGCTGCTCAGCAAAGGGTTTGCAGTACCATCTTCCTGCTCTACCTTACTATCTCTACTGCCCTCTGCAGAGAAAGAGGATTCAAATGCAGAACTGACTCCTCAAGTTGTCAAACGCGTAGCACTGATTCAATTATATAGCCATTATGCCAGTGAAGCTACACCGTCTTAAGCCTACCGTAGTTGGTTTTCTCAAACTTCAGCAAGAAGACAAATACTGTATTTCCACCCTGTGACTTACCATTCTCTTTGTATCCCATGCCAAGGATAACCTCTGGCGCTCTGTAGTATCGTGTTACTACATACGGAGTCATCATGAAATTAGTACATGCAGTCCTTGCCAGTCCAAAATCAAGGATTTTGAGAGTACAATCTGATTTTACTACTATATTGCTGGGTTTTAAATCCTAAGGAAAAAAACAGATTCAAATAAATGTTCAAGAAATGGTATAATCCATACAAGTCAACAGATATTATTATTCTATTTCAAATTTACCATTTTGAGACAGATGTGGTTTTACAATGCAAACTCTTTTGCTCAGTTAAATAGAATATCCACAGTCAGTGAACCTGGATGAGGAAAATCTAGGTTCACATCCCATATCAACCATAATGCTCACTGAATACTTCCCATTTTATTGAGAGACCCAAAGAGTCCCTCCATTCAACTTCCGTTCTGTTCAGGTGAGGTACCATAGGGAACTGAGAAAGAACATATAACTCTGTCACACCTCAACATCAGTGTGTTTTAGATAAAAGCAGGGGGCTGGGAGGCTTGAATTTATTCAAAAAATTCAGGAAACTGATAATGTTTCGCTCTGGAATCATATCCTTCTTGGGACATTTTACTACTGTATTGACATTCTATCAGTTTCAGTTTTATTAACCTACCCCAAGGGCCCAGAAAGAATATTACAAAATGAAAATAAAATAAGTAAGTGCATGCAAAATTGCACAGATGAAAATAAATATCCAGGCGCATCAAAGCAGATTGATGTATTGTCTTCAGGCAAGCTTTCCCTGAGTGACTAGCTGCTTGAGTGGGGGGTTTAAATGGATGTTGTACTTTACCACTGGGATATGTTTTGGTGTTGCTAAATTTTTTGTACGGTATTTGTTTGATCCTTTAAATTTTTTTTACATCAAACAATACTTGATAACAAAAACATGAATGACTAATACTGTACAGTCATAACTCACATTTTTTGTACGGTATTTGTTTGATCCTTTAAATTTTTTTTACATCAAACAATACTTGATAACAAAAACATGAATGACTAATACTGTACAGTCATAACTCAAATATACAGTGTAACTCACCACCTTCAGGAAGGTGGGTTATTTATATATATCTTCATCGACACATTTCATCTCAGTTTGTATCATGTGCCCTATCTCTTTCCAAACATATAATAATTCTTATGTTGGAGTATAACCTTCATGTTTTGTAAATAGGTTTTCTATAAAAGGGTTTCAGATCCCATTAAAACTCTTTTATTTCATTAATCCTTTTCTAATGTTCAATTCACAAGTTAATTCATCTTTAATAGCTAGATTCCGCATCTCATTATACCATTCTTCCAACATCAATTGATTATTATTTTTCCAATTCCTTGCAAATATTAATCTTGCTGCTTTTAAAATATCAATTTCATTTTCCTCTGTCTACTTTACTTTACTTTTATTAGACTTTTACCCCGCCCCCCTAGACAAAGTCTACTTGGGGTGGCTTACATGAATAATAAAACACAACAATATAACACACATAATAAAATCCTACAAAACTCAAAACTTAAACACTTATTTCTATATACGTTGCCAAGATGGAATAGTTAAAGAAACAGAAGAATCAGTTAATCTAAGTGACTGTTTCCAAATATATTCAACAATGCTACCATTGGACATCTTTGTTCCTAGAATTTCTTTAATCTCATTAAATACAATCATCCATTTCTTCTGTCTCTCTTCACATGTCCATCACATATATGTTCCCCTTTATTTCTCATACCTCCAATATTCAGATGGTATCTCTTTTTTCCTTATATTTAATTTAATTGGCATTAAATACCATCTCCATATTACTTCATAACAATTTACCTTTATCCTACCTGACATATTTTTCACTATTCTTTTTCCCCAGGTCATCTTACTTCTCCACTAATTTCTTTATTTACATCTCCTTGCCATATCTCTTTCAAAGCTATTGTTTTATATTCACCCTCTACTAACATCTTATATTTTACACCTGTTATCCCTTTTTTCTTCCCTCTTTTCAACAGTTTCTTCAAATTTAGTCATCCCCCTATATTCTCCTTCCTTTTTTTCCCCCCATTCCTGGGTCCAACTATCTATCTGTCTTACATTCCTTCTTCTAATATCTCTTTTGTTCACTGTATATTATCTTATCTTCTTATTCCAATCTTTAATTTTTATAACTTTTTATACTTACAAAACCTTATTTAATTTCTACTTCAGGTTATTTGTTTGATCCTTTTGTATTTGTATACACACTATTGTCAATGTTAAATACAGTCTTTTAATTATGTAAGCTGCCTTGGGTCCTTTTTACAGAGAAAGGCGGGGTAAAAATAATTTAAATAAATAAATACGTAGTTTCTCTAGGAATAGCTTTTGTTTAGAAACAACAGGCTTCCATACATTTTGCTGAAGGACGTATAAGAAACTGCTGCATTTCGGTCATGGAGATGGAAAAGAACAAAAAATAAACTGAACTAGAAAAATGATTAGAGTTTCAGTCTTCGTATCATTCCCCTTTCCAAGTCTGGGTATATGAAGGACTCTTTAACACAGTTTTTGAAAGGAACCTTCTTTATTTCTATAACAGCTTATACCACGTTACTTGTTAGCCACACTGGTGACCTCCTTAACCCTGTACCACCTTCCTGGCCTGTGATACACATTCTAGCGGAGTCTGTGAATCAGGATAAGTTGCAAGACAGTCTTATGTAATATCTCTACCTACTCTGTGGATGATACCCGCTGAATGGAGATGTTTAATGCCACACAGCATTTGGTACAGAAGGTATGACATTCTTTCATGGTCTAATTCCATATGAATAACTTGGCACAAGTTAGCATCCATTAGTTCCATAACCAAATACCTGAAAAATTAAAATACAATATTTAACGTTTAATATTTCTTGTAGTTTAAGCAGAGATATATGCAATTTACCTGTAGAAAATCCATCACAATGAAAAAGTATAATACAGGATTATAATTTTATTGAGGGGCGTCAATGTAGTGGATTAGTGTGTCCAACAAGGACTCTAGAGACCTCAATCTCTGGTCACAGAAACTCACTGCAGTGTGGCACCAGTAAAAAGACTCCTTAAATGTCTTGCTTATCTTGGAAACCCTACTATGATCATTGTTAAATAAGAACTGACTTCACAGCAAGAAGACATTTATGCATTACAGCATGTAGTCTAGTCACAGGTGAGGCAAAAATCCTGTTCCTACCATTTTACTTCATTAATTTTATTCCAGATGAATACTGTAGCTTAAAAAAAAAGATTAGGAACCACTGCTAAATTTGCCAAACTTGCTTACATAGGAGGTAACTCCAGTGAAACACACCTATACTGTTTAGACAGTCAGATATTTATTTGGCTATTTATATCATGCCTGTCCATGATAAAAATCAATCTCAAAGTGACCCAAAACAGAAACAAAATGCATAATATTTTAAAAAATGGCTGAGTACAACAGCATCCTAAAACTATACCACAAACATCTGTCTAAATAAAATGTCAAAAAGGAGCACTAGAACTAATATTAATACTGTATTTTAAAAAGTTACTGTTCCTTTTATGATCTTATTAAGTACTCAGATTCAAAAGGCGGTACAGAAACAATAACGCTAATATTAATGATGATGATGATGACATGATATTTCTTCCCACCCATACAAATGCACATTGTAGGAAAAACAGAGAACCAGTTTCCAGGAAGGAAACTACATTCCACTGGACTATGTGCAAAACTGAGAGTTGTTTTACTGAGGCCAAATTACTTTAAAGGAAACAATTAGTTTGGAAACAAATAAGCACTCTTTTATAAAGTATCACACTGTGCATACAATAAAGCAGACTTTTAAAATTATAGTTAATATGTGTTGAATAAAACTATATGAAACCAATTCAGACTCGAGGAATAAATTGTTTTAGCTAGAAACTATCTCTTAGTGAAATCAAAAGGAAAAATGTCTACTGTCACATTTAAAACTCAAGTGAGGAGAAAGAATAAAATTTATTATTTTAATTGTCTTAATATTTACTGGAAAACTAATAAAGATTTCCACAGCAAACAACATATATTTCAATAACTAATTTGAGGTAGTTTCCATCAAAATGAATGTGGACAGTTAGGCCTTAACATCTGATATATTTATTAAAAATGCAAAATAACTAAACTTACACATCTTGAAATTCTTCTAGTGACTTCTGTGGTGTGAATACATTTAATAGGCTAATAATCTGTAAGAGCAGAAAAAGAAGTTCAGGCTCTCCACAACTATGCTTGTAAAACAACAACAACAACAAAAACCGTACAGTGTGGCAATGTCAGCACACAGACCACACTGTTCAAGAATTTCATAAGCATTTTAAAGAACATCTAGAAACACAATGGTTAATACAGTGATATCCAAATATTAGAGGAAATTCACTATATGCAAACTGCATTTTGCATGTTGAGGGTTTTTTGGTGGAGGGGTCAAACGAAAGTGATTAAGGATACAAGTTAAGATGATGGAACAGAATAATCAAATGTAGCTTGGACTTAATTAATAAGAAAGTGATCTTTCATAGACAACAACAATGATACTCATGCCAATCTTGCAAATAACCCAGAAAATGGTACTGATAAACCAATTTGGACTATTTTATGCCTTGAAAATTCTACAGTGGAAAAAAATTCAAAATGAAACAAGCCATAGTGCTGGAAGATGAAACTTCTAGATCAGTAGATACTCAGCTGGCTACCAGGGAAGAACAAAGGACAATCACAAACAGCACTGATGGTAATGAAGCTATGTCTAGTTGCCAGTGTGTACAGAGGCAAAATAAAAGCCCAATGCTGCAAGACACACATGGAATGTGAGAAGTATGAATCAAAGTAAAACCTGACACTGGAAAGCTAGAAATGAAACTTTTAAAAAATGGCATAAAGAAACCAAAGGGCTATAATGCAAACATTATCATCTTGAAAAGATACCAACATAATCATCATTCAGGTCTATGTTTTAACCACAGATGTTAAAGAAGAAATCAAACACACAACAGAATAGGATGTGCTAATAATCATAGATGACTGTAACACAAATGTAGGAAATAAAGAAGAACCAAGCACTGTTAGAAAATTTGGCCTCATAATCAGAAGCGAAGCAGGAGACTGATTCATAGAATTATGTGAAACCAAACATTAATTTTTATGCTGCAACAAAGATTTTTGTCATGCATGAACTAAGAAATGCCAGAGGTACAATGTTGTATCCATAAAGCAGTGGATTCCAACCTTAGGTAACCCAAGTGATCTTGGACTGCAACTCCCAGAATGTCTAGTCAGCACAGCTAGTGATAAAGACTTCTGGGAATTACAGTCCAAGAACACTTAGGTTACCCAAGGTTGGGAACCACTGTCACAAAGAAAAAGGCACTAGATATCATGGTGTCAGTGTATAAGTGTAGAAAACAGGAGTTGTCCATGGATGTTGAGAATATTCAATAATATCAGTATTGTGCATTAAAAGTCACTACGTAATCAGTGTTACTATCTGTATTATGCTCCTGCATTCAGTGGACAATTTTTAGGTCTTAAAAATGTTCTTAAAGAGAAATAGCCCATATTTGCAGAAATATTTGCTGCCAGTTTATGCTAACAGCTTCACAGTTGCATAATTCCAATTTGAGGGAATCCTTTTGTGTATATGTGAAAGTAGGTAACAAATAAACCTTATAAAAATCTGAATGTATGTTAGTTTAGGAAAATCAAATTAAAAAGCAATGTATAAAAGTAGATCTTCTGTACTACCAGATGGGCGGGATATAAATAAAAAATACTGCAGTTATCATATTTTCAGTTGTTTGGAAATAGCTTGTGATTGTTGCACTGTAACTAAATTTACTAGTAACATTTGAACACAAACTATGTATCAGAAAGAGCACACAATGAAGACAAACAGAAAAAAAAATTAAAGGGATATTTGAATTTAGATTTATTCCATGACTTTATTATATGATGAAACTAATACAATAAAGATGTATCCTGGAATAATAAACTCAAAAGGCAAAAAAAGCAAATGAAACTTCTACTATATTCAGATCAATTTAAAAAAAATGATTTAGTAAATGTTACTAGAGTTTGCTTGAATTTGATTCTATCCTGGACTGATATGGATATCAGTTTAGACACGTTGGCTCCGAGATGGTATTATATACAGTAATATATATTATATATTATATTTTGTGTGTGTGTGTGTGGTGTGTGTGTGTGTGTGTGTGTGTGTGTGTGTGTGCGTGTGCAACCTACATACATGGCGATACAATTCATAAATTAGCTATGAACCATTAAAATTACTCACATTTTTATGATTGACACACTTTAGAAGCACAAGTTCTCTATATGCTCGTTTTGCATGTGTTTGGTTTTGAAAAGGACGACTAAGCTTCTTCACAGCAACATTTATTCCAAGGACTGTATCAAATGCAGCACTGAAAGGTTGAAACAGAAACATAATTTCAATTCCCTGAAATTAGGACCAAACACTGAAAAAGTTGCAAGAGTGAATGATGTTATTATCTCTGCTCATGCAAAAGGCTATATAAAGAACTCTTAGAAGTTGCTGTTCAATTATACCATTTCACCGAAAATAAGACCTAACCTGAAAATAAGCCCTAGTATGATTTTTCAGGATGCTCGTAATATAAGCCCTACCACAAAAAGAAGCCCTAGTTAAGTGAAGCCCCGCCCACCCCCAGCACTGTGCAGCCACCAGAAGATGACATGACTGTAAAATAAAACATCCCCTGAAAATAAGGCCTAATACGTTTTTTGGAGCAAAAATTAATATAAGACCCTGTCTTATTTTCAGGGAAACATGGTAGTTCTACCCACTTTCTCCCTTCCTCCATCTTGTGTTCCCTTCTATCAACGCATGAATTATGGTCTACTCTAGAAGCCTGACTGTGATATTTGCACAGCTGAGTCAAACACCATTCCATAAGCCAATACTATTTGACACCAAGTTTCAGATCCCCATCAAATCTGCCACTGTAGTAGTAGAAAACAGTGTGGTCCTATTATGTGTCGAATTTGGAGAGTACTGGAGACATAGTTTAAAAGAGGCAGAAGGCAAGTGAGATGGGGATGAATTTTAAAATTTACCATTTGTAAATGATGCTTTGAATATGTATATACCAGTTTAAAATCAATATGTCTTAATTCAATGTTGATTTTAAAGTATTTTTATGCCACCTTACAAACACACTAAGGTGGACTAAAAACGGACGGACGGACGGAAGGAAGGACGGACGGAAGGAAACCACCAACTGGCAACTTTCCTGTTGTTTCTATCTAATTCATGTCCCTATCTTGTACCATCCACATCCCCTCAATGAGATTAAAACTGGGATGGAGAGAGAAAGTGGGGAAAAGAACATTGGAAAAGTTTTCATTTGCTAAATTACAGTTCTAGTTAATGGATGAAAGTGCCATAGCACTAAAATCAGACCTTCACCCACAAAGGTGACAGAACACACAGGTTTGACAGTCTAATGCAACATATATATGCAACAAGTAATTCATATTCTGTGAACTTTACCTTTTCTTTGTTTCAAGGGATAAGTTATATTCAGATATGCATTTGAACTTACCTATTTAATTTATTTAAAATATTTTATCCTGCCTTTCTCCTAGTTTGGGTTCATGTTACTCACCAAACAATGCCTTGAGCTCCAGAGCCAATAGGTTTCAATTGCTGGTAGCGTTTTAATACAGTGAACGTTGAGTCCGCAACTTGAACACTGTAAAACTGACTGTCACATTTACTTTCACTCATGATGTAGTGTCATGTAGTTTTCCTTCCAAGATCTGGCACAGTTTTGCAAGCGCTGTATGAAGAGAACCAAAAACATGGCATCCTTTACTTAAACTGGCCCATGACACTGCCTCTAGAAGTCTTGACCAATATGAAAAAACATCTAAGATACTCATCCTACAGCATAAAGACTTATCATTGCGACACCATCTTAATCACACACATCCCACAGGTTTTCCAGGATATAGCAAGATTCCTTTTATGCATTTTAATACATCTTACACACTAGAGGTTATCTGTTATCACATCTAATGTACTACACCATCAATAAGGTAATCTGACATCATAAAGAAATAACTCAGTAGACTAGTGAGACACAATTTCTTGCATAGGGCTGGAGAAAAAACATGAATTACAGAACATCCATTTCAAATATTTAACTAAAGGGAACCTTACAGTCATGCTTTTATACTCAGTACTTCAGTTGGAAACCCAGGTTTGCTCTCCTCATATTTTCTTTGTGCGGGCGTGTTGAAGTGGAAATAAAACAATGTTTCCATTTAAAGTGCAGGCTGAAGAAACAGAGACCAGACTAGCCAAGGACTCAGTAATGTCAGAAGACATATACACTTCCCTTGATTGCCACAAGGTTACAGTCACTGAATGTGAATCTGGCACCTTAACTCCAACCATTCCCTGTGGTAAAGTAATCCAAATGCCGACTTTTCGTTGTCCAGTTTGGGACCAAAACAATGATACTGCTTTCTAAATGTCACACTCTTGTTCTGTAACAATCATTTATTAGAAATGGAAGAGGACATAACCGTTGCTAGAATCCAACTGAATATTTATGCATATTTATTTATGTAACTGCAATGATATAACTTAGAGTTGTGAACGAGATGTAACAAGTCTGCAACTAAATTCCTATTTGTGTCCAAAGTCAAGTAACTGGTGCACAACTAGGAATTCAATTCAGGACTCATTAACCAGTAGCTATTTGCTTCTCCTAGTTATGTCACTGCACTTCTGGAGATGTACATGTTCAATGATACAAACATAAGAATTAGACTGTGAAAACAGCCAAGTTTGTCCTGAATAGAGATAGTAGATATCCTGGAAGTAAAATGCACCTTCTATGAGCAACAAGGACAGTCAGGAAGATAACCCATGCTTTTTAAAATCCCAAAAGCACTATGTCTCGCCAAAGGCCTGCACAGCCCAGAGACTGTTTGGGCATTTTGTAAACAAAGCCCTGTATCCAAGCAGCTTTAGAATCATTACAAACAATGGCTGAAATCCTATTTCACAGTTAGGTAAAAGGTGTAGCTTTTAGAAGGAAATTGCCTCAAAAAGGTTCAGAAATTTCCACAGACATTATCTTTAAAAGCCAAATTGTACACATTCCAATACATACAACCTGTAAACAAAATCTGACCAAAATGAGGGATTTTTGGCAGTCTCAGCAGGGGAAGATTTTGTATGACAGTGGTAGGGTTAAGGAATTGTTTTTGTTTTTATTTTTAATTCTAATTTTTTTTTACTCATGAGAGGGTATTTGAAAGCAGAAGGAGGGTAAATAGATATGGCTAATAGATTAAGAATACAGTATCATCTCTGATGTGAAGGGTCTAAGGAGTGTTATTAATAGGAAAATAATAGAAGCATTACTTAATAAAAATAAAGCAGACAAAATTTTTTAGAGGAAACACATCAAGCCAAAGAAGGTGAAGTTAAATAAAACTGATCTAGTATTTATGAAAAAGCATGTGGAAGTTCAAAAACAAGAGGGTTGCCATTAGTCTAAAAACTGATTGAAAATATAATTATGAAGAAACATGGTAAAAAACAATATATAATGTTACAAGGAACACTGAGAGGAAAGAACTACGCTTTGATCAATGTTTGTTCTCTGAATAGAAATCAAGAAACCTTTTTAAAAGAAGTGTTTAAACTGGTAAAAGAGATATGGAAAGGGTTTATAGTAATGGCTGGGTAATTTTTAAATGGTAATGGATAAGGTAAAGGTAAAGATTCCCCTTGACATTTAGTCCAGTCGTGTCCGTGGTGCTCATCCCCGTCTCCAAGCCGTAGAGCCAGCATTTGTCCATAGACAGTTTCCATGGTCACATGGCCAGCACGACTAGACACGGAACGCCATTACCTTCCCACTTTGTTGGTACCTATTTATCTACTCGCATTTGCATGCTTTCGAACTGCTAGGCTGACAGGAGGATAAAGAGAAATACAAATCAAACCCTACAGAAAATAACAGTGATATGTTCTTGATTAGAATAATTAAGAAAGAGAGTGATGAAATGAGATGGAAGGTTAAACACATCCCTTTCCTCCATACATAAGAGTTACTACAGAATAAATTATCTAATCATATCTAATAACCTGATTTCAAGAATAGCTAAAAGTTGGTTTAATACATGTCATATACCATGCTTTGTTAAATATGGATATAGAATGAATTAATGGTTTATTGTTGTTTTGACTACTTTGGTCATTCAGCTTCCGAGTTAAAACATAAGTACAAATAGTTATACAGTAATATATATCACTTCTCAGTCTTTTGGCTAAGATGAAATGTAATAAATAATGGATATTAAAATTAGATGCAATTATAAAGAAGCTAGAAGATGTAATTAGATACTAATATTCTCCAGTAAAATAGTAGAAAAAACAGAAAAAGAAATGGAAATATGTATATAAATGATAGGGAAAGCTGCATTAAGGTAATATATGGGATACTATGAAAGTGATGATAAGAGGGAGCAGTATCGGGGAATCACATAATTTAAAAGAATGAGAAAAACACAAAAAGGTTGTGTTTATATAAAGTAAATAGATAAAGATCATAAAATTATAGCACAAATTGTGGCAGAAGAAAGGAATGAGAGAATATGGAAATAGAAAAAAAATCAGAGGAATTTAATGTCTTTGGGAAGATAGTATTTTGAGTTTAGTAATGAAAACTCCAAATTATTGACCAGAACTACGTACAGTATGTTAAAAAAATCAAAAAAATCTTACTGATGTGATTAAAAATGAATATGTAATTTGATGAGATATAAATTAAAGGTCTTCCAAGATAATAAATATAATAAATTAATATCAAATATAGATATAAATATAAATATACATAAAGATTAATTATAAGAATAAAGAATTGGCTAGAAAAATGTTGAATAAATAACAAATACAGTGGTGCCTCGCTTAACGATTGTCTCGTTTAGCGATGAATTCGCATAACGATGTATTTTTAAAGAAAATAATATGCCCCGTATAACGATGTTTCCTATGGGCGATTTTCGCTTAGCGAAGTTTGGGACCATGCTTCGCATAACGAATGCGATTTTAGGTCCCCTGCTTCACTTAACGATGTTTTTTTTCCCAATTAAAAAAGTGTCTTAGAAGGGTCAAAAACGGTTCTAAATGCTTGGATTCGTTAGAGGACCCCCTAAGTCATGTGCAAACCTGATTTGGCTTTGATCTGACCTAACGAATCCAAGCATTTAGAACAGTTGCCGAGTCTTCATTAATTTTTTGTGAATTTTTTCTTCTCCCATAGGAAATAATGGAGCTGTCAGATTTTGACAGCTGTCAAAAGTTGGGGGGAAAAAATTCACCCTAAATTAACGAAAAGTCAGATCTAAGCCAAATTACATTTGCACCCGTTTTAGAAGGTGCAGAAGCTATTCCAAGCATTTAAAACCATTTTTGCCCCTTGTATGACACATTTAAAATTGCAAAAATTGACTTCGCAAAGCCATTGAAATGTATTGAGTCAGCTTCAATACATTCCAATGGAGGAAACATTGTTTCGCTTAGCGATGTTTCCTATGGGTTTTTTCGCTTAACGACAGCAATCCGTTCCAATTGGAACGGATTAACCGGTTTCCAATGCATTCCTATGGGAAATGGTGTTTCGCATAGCGATGGTTTCACACAGCGATGTTTTTTTTGGAACGAATTAACATCGCTATGTGAGGCACCACTGTATACTATTTTAGTACAATGTTATTTAATTAGGACAGAAGACAAGGAGTGGCTTTTGGAGACTCGACACGCAATTGTTGAGAGAAGAGGCCTCCTTGAATAAAATTAAAAATGGGATGATTTTTTTTCAAATCAATAAACCTCAAGATACAATGATGACAGTGGTATGGGATGCAGCCAAAGCATACTTTCAAGGTTATGCAATAGAATATAATATACAAAGAAAAAAGGAAAGGAATAAACAATATCAAACTCTAATAACATCTCTAAAAAAGAGGAAGCAGAGCTAAAGAAGGCACCAACAAAAAAGGGATTACTTAATAAAATAAATATGCTACAGCATAAAATTAATTTACTAGAACAGGAAGAGATGGAGAAGAAAATCAAATTTGCAAGGCAAAAATTCTTTGAAAATGCAAACAAACTGGGAAGATGGCTAGCTTACAAAATAAAAAGGGAGAGAGAGAAAACGATGATCACAGCAATATTTGATAAGCAAGGAAAGGAAGCATATAAACAAAAGGAGATTGAAAAAGAAATTCATGGATTCTACATCAAACTCTACAGGAAAAGAGAAGGAGAACAAGAGAGACAAAAAAAAATTTAAATAATATTCCAGAATGGGGGCTGAGTCATCAACAACTGGAGAAACTGAATGAACCAATTACAACAGAAGAGATCGGAGAAGCATGGAAGAAACAAAAAAGCGGTAAATCTCCTGGTCCAGACGGATTACCAGCAGAATATTACATTTGAAGAAATTCTAAGCCCACAATTTAAGAAACTAATTGAAGATGTCCAGATTAAAGGGGAAATCCCCAATTCATGGAAAGAAGCATATATCTCTCTAATACATAAAGAAGGGACCGACAAAAAGCAAACCAAGAACTACAGACCGATCTCTCTCCTGAATGTTGACTACAAGATCTTCACAATCATTTTAGCAACAAGACTAAAGGAGATAACTGAAACAATAATACATAAAGACCAAACAGGCTTTATACCTAAAAGGAAATTGTCATCAAACATAAGGACGATAATAGACATATTGGAATATTATGAAATGCA